TCAGATCCCTGGAATGGAGCCCAAGGTTTTCAGCAACCAAGCAAAGTCTGAATCAAGAAAAAGGTGACTGACAAGGTCAGAGAGCTCTGTGGTGTTTTCACTTGGCCACAGCCCACCAGTCTGTGGCACAGTGAAGTCTTGAGATGGCAGCTTTGTTGTTTCCATGTGGGTAGATGGTTCTGGAGGGAGTGTAGTGGACATTGTTCCAAAGGACTTTGTCTGTTTTGACCTGTTTGTGGTTCCCTGAAGGACTGATACCTAAATCAGAACTCTCTCAATGGAGGGTATTTCTTGAAAACATTGAAAATCAAATAAACAAGCCACTGCCACCTGGGGAAAAAGATTACAGTTGGCTGCCTGGGAGGAAAATCTGGGGGAAGAGCTACTTTGGTGAATAAAGGCTTTGAAAAGCTCCTGTGTATCCTGAGAGAGCTAAAGCCACATGCATACCAAAGGCAGGATGCATGCTCAGGAAATATCTTAAGCTTTCATCTCCAGCTGATCTCCAGGCTCAGTGGCAGGAAGCAAAACTAAGGCAGAATTGTGAGCAGAGTAGCTAACATGGAAAGAGTGCACAGCACAGCCAATCTGCAAAGACTAGAAGAGTATTTTTTCCTTTTATTTGCATATGTTTTGCTCCAGGATATCAAGGAAATTTCTGCCAAACCACTAGCTGACCACAAGCTAAAGAAACAGATACTTCAGAGACCACACATGACAAAGAATACAGTAGTTAAAATAGTTTTAAAAAGATACTTGCCCTGGTTGGGTGGCTCAGTTGGTTTGGGCCTTGTTCCATACACCAAAAGGTTGTGGGTTCGATTCCCAGTCAGGGCACACACTTAGGTTGTGGGCTCAATCTCAGATTGGGACACACATGGCAGGCAACTCATCAATGTTTCTATCTCCCCCCTTCCTCTCTCTAAAATTAATAAAAACATATCCTTGGGTGAACATTTTTTAAAAAGTCACTAAACAAATAAGCAGCTTTGGCCAGTATTGCTCGGTGGTTAGAGTGTCTGCCAGCACACCGAAGGGTCATGGTTTGATTCCTGGTCAAGGGTACCTGGGTTTCGAGTTAGCTCCCTACCCAGGTCGGGGCACGTGAGGGAGGTAACCAGTTGATATGTCTCTCTCACATCTATGTTTCTCTCTCTCTCCTCCTTCTTTCTCTTCCACTTTCTCTGAAAAGGAAAAAATATTCTCTGGTGAGGATTAACAACAACAATAAGAAGCAACTACAACTCACAGAAAGCACAACAAAGCCAGAGGAGGGAAAATAATCCAGTTTCCAGAATTACCATATTATAATATTCAAAAGGTACAGATATCAACTAAAATTTATGAGGCATGCAAAAAAAAACCCCAAAACAACAAAAAAAGAACAAAATAAAAATCTAGATAAAATGGAGAAATTTCTAGAAAATACAAACTACTAAAACTAACTCAAGAATAAATAGAAAATCTGAATAGATCTATAACAAGTTAAGAGACTGAATCAGTAATTTAACACCTCTCAACAACAACAACAAAAAAGCTTGGGGGATTATACCTAACATTTAAAGAAGAATCAACACCAATCATTCTTAAACTCTTCCAGAAAACAAGTGGAGGGAACATTTTCAGACACATTCTATGAGGCCAGCATTACTCTGACACCAAAACTAGACAAATACAAGAAAAACTACAGACCAATATCCCTTGTGAATGCTGATGCATAAATCTTCAACAAAATCCTTGCAAAGAAAATCATCCAGCCAAGGAGGATTTATCCCAAGAATGCAAGGGTGGTTCAATGTAGAAACATCAACCAGCACTAACATACAACATCAATAGGATGAAGGCAACACCATATGATCATTTTAATTGAAGAAAAAGATTTTTATATAATCCGACACCCTTTCATGATAAAACACTCAACAGATTAGGAATCAAAGGGAATTTCCTTAACCCAATAAAGGACATAAGTGACAAACCACAGCTAACATGATACTCAAAGTTGAATGACTGAAAAATTTCTCCCTAAGATCAGGACGAAGACAAGGATGGCCACTCTCACCACTTTTATTTAACAGGGTCCTGGAAGTGCTAGCCACAGCAGTTAGGCAATAAAAAGAAATAAAAGGCATGTAAATTGGAATGGAAGAATTAAAAGTGTCTCTATTCACAGATGACAATATCTCATATGTATAAAATCCTGAAGAATCCACAAAAATTCTCAGAGCTAATGAACAAATTAAGCAAAGTTGTAGGATATAGGATCAAAACTCAAAAATTAATCATATTTCTACATATAAGCAATGAATAATTTGAAACAGAAATTAAGAAAACAATTCCATTTACCATAGTATCAAATAAAATAATATACTTATGAATGCATTAACCAAGAGTTGGTCACTGACAACTACAAAACATTGCTGAAAGAAGTTAAGAAAAAACTAAATAAATGGAAGACACCCCATGTTCATGGATAGGAAGACTTAATGTTGTTGTTTTTTAATCTTCATTTGAGGATATGTTTACTGATTTTAGAGAAAGGGAGGGTGGGGGGAGAGAGAGAAAAAAACATTGATGTGAGAGAGAAACATTGATCGGTTGCCTCCAGTATGTGCTCCAACTGGGGATCAAACCCGCAACCTAGTATGTGCCCTCGCTGGGAATTGAACCTGCAACCTTTTGGTGTATGGGATGATGCTCCAACCAACTGAGATGGCATACTTTCCAAAGTGATCTACAGATTCAATAAAATCCCAATAGCAATTTTTGCAGAAATGGAAAAGCTAATCCTAAAATTCATATGGAATTGGAACGTATCCCAAATAGTCAAAACAATCTTGTAAAAGAAAAACAAAGTTGGATAACTTACACTTCCCAACTTTAAAACATACTACAAATCTACAGCAATCAAAATCATGTGGCATTGACAGAAGGATAGACATATATATCAATGGAATGGAATTGAGAGTCCGGAAATAAATCCACACGTCTATTGCCTATTGATTTTTAACAAGAGTGCCAGACCACTCAGTGAGAAAAACAGTCTGTTCAACAGATGGTGCTGGAATAACTGGATTACCACATACAAAAGAATGAAGTTGGACCCCAACCTCACACCATATACAAAAATTAACAACACAGATCAAAGATTAAGTGTAAGAGATAAAACTATGAAACTCTTAGAAGAAAACATAGGTGTAAATCTTTGTTACCTTAGACTAAGCAATGCTTACTTTGATATGACATCTAAATAGATAAATTAGACTTCACCAAAATTTAAAAATTTTGTGCATCAAAGGACACTGTCACAAAAGTGAAAAGATAACCTACAAATGGGAGAAAATATTTGCAAATTGTATATCTGATAAGTGTTTAGTGTCTAGAATATATGAAGAACTCTAACAATTAAAGAATAAAAACACAAACAACCAAATTAAAAACTGAGCAAAGAACTTGAATAGGCATTTCTCTAAAGAAGACATACAATGTCCAATAATCCCATAAAAAGATGCTCAGCATCATTAGCCATCAGGGAATTGCACATAAAAACCACAATGAGATACCATTTTGTGTCCACCGAGATGGTTAAAGTAAAAAGACAGAAAATAACAAGTGTTGACAAAGATTTGGAAAACACTGGAACCCTTATGCACTGCTGGTGGGAATATAAAATGGTGCAATTTCTGTGAAAAACAGTTTGGTGGTTCCTCAAAAACTTAAACAGAGTTATTCTGAGACTGAGAAATTCTACTCATCCACTCCGAAGGCTTTGAAAACAGATATTCAGAGATAGTTGTACAAAAATGTTCATAGCAGCACTATTTACAGTGGCCAAGGGTGGAAAAACCCCAAATGTCCATTAATGATGAATGGATAATAAATGTGGCATATCCATACAGTGAAATATTATTCAGCCATAAAAGGAATAAAGTGCTATAACATGCTACAGTGTGGATGAATCTTGAACACATTTTGATAAGTGACAGGAGTCTCTCTGTCTCTCACTCTCCACCTTCCTCTCTACCCACTTGCCCATGGGGCCCAGCCACCATATGGTAAGGGAGCCCAGGCTACATGTAGAGGCCACTTGTGGGTATTCCCACTGATTGTCAGATATGAGAGAGAACAGGGACTGGCTGAGGGGCATAGACCAACCTTACCCATGGGTGCTGCACTCTGATTTGTTGGGACACAAGACACATCATAGTTCATACCAGTGATTTTCAACCTTGTTCATCTCATGACATATAAACTAATTACTAAAATTCTGTGGCACACCAAAAAATATATTATATATTTTTTAATATCTGACAAAAAAATAGTTATAATTTTGATTCATTCACACTGGACAACTATTGTTGTGTTGGCTGTTGTCATTTTTTTATCTGACAATCTAAAGGAAAAGAGGTCAGTGCCCTGACTAAATAGTCAGGTGTTGCATGTTTTAAAAATTCTTGTGGCACACTGGTGTGCCTCTTGTGGCACATTGGTTGAAAATCACTGGTTTAAAGAAATTAATCACTGGTTTAAAGACATTTTGAGAAAATTTGCTCTTCACCAAAAGTTAACCAACATGCAGCCCTCCTCTTCCTCCTCTTTCCAAAATAACTGCTGACTCCAGGACCCTGGAGAGCTTCTCCCATTATGCCTCTTGGCCCCCAACTCTCTCCCTTCCTGTTTCGTTTTGTTTTGTTTTTTGTAATTTCTCTCTAAGACCTGCCTGCAGTGTTGCCCTGGAACTGTGCAATTTCCTTTCGGGGAAGGGAAGCAGGGGAAATCTACATGATCCTGTGTCTTTCCTGAGGTCCAGGAGCCCCTTCAGAGCCAGTGACCATGGGAAGAAACCACATCAGAGATACTGACATCATGAGGTCTGTGTGGCACTGCCCACCTGTTGCAGGTGCTGCTCCCATGCTCAGACAGGTGAGACACCAGGGCAGAGCAGGGCAGCTGGCTTGGGCCTGCTGCACCAACACACTGCCACCTCCACCTGGAAGGCATACCTTTGTCCAGCACAGGGCCAAAGATGGCCAGGCTGTTGTCAATGGTGGTGCAGTTCCACCGGCGGCCACGGAACTGGTGCTGGCACTCCTCAATGCTGATCCTGATGCCCTCTGCCACGCTGGGCATGATCTCCACGTAGTTCCGACAGAAGCGCAGCTGTTTGGGTACTAGGCCTGGGATGCTGGCGCAGAGGATGGGCTGTGTGCCCAGAGAGGAGTACTGGGGCCCGACAGCCAGGGACCTGGGGGAGAAGGGCAAGGAGGCCTGGTGAGTGGGAGAGCTGCCCTGGCAGCCTGTGAAACAGGAGTAGAAGCCGGGTCTGCCCTGGAGGGAGCACATGGGCTCTCTTCTTTGGGGCACCTGTGCATTCCAGGGTGAGACATGCTTCCACCCTGGGGATAGCCTGTCGCTACACTGTACCTGAGATTTAGCACAAACCTCAAGATGTGTCTGCGGGGTGGAGGGAAGTAATTCAAGGAAGGTCAGAGGCCACCTGCTGCCCAGAGGAGGGGCTGCTGGTCTGGGGCAGGACTGGGGGTGAGATGGGCCAGCAGTGGCTGAATCACACCCCTCCCCATCCTGTGCCAGCCCAACAGAAATAAAAATATGCATCCCAAGGAAGATGTGCTCAAGAATATTCACAGGGCTGTGATCATGAGCACACACCTGGAAGCCACTGCATGTGCAGCATGGGAATGTGGGTAACAGATGGAGCTTCCGCAGCAGAATGTTGCTAGGGGAAAGAGAGGAGTGGGGTGCAGTAGAGAGGCCTTACAGGAGCCTGAGCTCCATTTCTCAGAGACAACAGCGGCTACACCATGGGTGGGAACAAAACCAGACAGTGGTTCCCTCATGCACATGGGAGGACGGGCCTGACAGGGGCACAGAAAACGTTTCTCAGACTCAGAATGGCCCCCATTACCCACAGGCGACTGGATTTTAATTAAGTAAAATGACACAAAAAGAGAGAAAACTTGGTTTCTCAGTCACACCAGCCACATATGGCCCAAGGCTGCCATGATGGAGGTTTAGATATGGGACATTTCAGTCCCTGCGGAGAGTTCTACTGGACCACAGTAGACTAGGGTGACAGAGTGCTCTGTGTTTGATGGGGGAGTTGATTACTTGTGTGTCAATCAGTGCTTGTGTGTCAGAACTGATTGAACCATTTTCACTTTACTGTACTTAACTGCACCTCAATTTCACAAAACCACCAGGTCCTCTAGGCAGGAGGAGGGAGAGCTTCTCTAATCTGGCAGGTGATGCACAGTCCTTCCACCTTTGGACTTATCATTTCCATCCTGCAGCCATGACATGTCCATCTCCACAGTGGGTGCCCTACGGTCCTGCCATCTATGTACGCACCCATTTCAGGAGTAGGTGCCCCACTGTCCTGCCACCTGTGGACGTGTTCATCTCTGTAGTGGTTGGTGACACTTGCAGGCAGAGCTCTGCATATCAGTGCCTCCTACACGCCGGTGTGAAGGGTGCCAGGATGTGTAATCTTCTCTTATGTCAACTGCTGATATCACAGAGGGTCTGCAGGGTCTCTGGGAAAGGGCTGCAGAGACCTTCAGGTTGGTGGGGGAGGCCCAGAGCCAGGAGGACAGCTGGGTGGGTGATTCTAGGGGACTAACATCCATGGTTTCTGAGTGCACCATCATCAAAGGTCTCCTGACTCTTAGCACAGAGGTACCCCATTCACTCAGGCCACAGGCTGCGCATGCTCTGTCCCCTTCCTCCTCAGGGAGCCCAACCCCTCCTTCCTCTGGACTGTGTGGTGCGGGGAGTCCCAGGCCCAGATCCAGAGCAGCCCCTGGGCCCTTGCTTATCTAGGAGCTTGCTAGCTGGGCTCCGGCGGGAAGGCCTGTTTCTCCTTCCTTGTTTGGCGAGACTGAGGAAATGGCAGCTTTGTTAATGCCTCAGCCAGAACTCCTAGAAATTCTTCTTATTCGGCACCTCCTCTCCCCTTGGAGGGCTGAGCACCCTGAGAAGATGGGACAAAGGCTTCTGTGACCCTCAGCAACCACATACCCACATTGTGATACTGACATTTGGTGAGTCCTACTCTAAGTCTAACTCAGTTTCATCTAGCTTTCACGAGAGCAATAGGAAACAGAAACAAACCTGCTCTCTGAACTACAAAGCAGATCCTATCACGTTCCCCATCCCAGTCTCCCAAATCTTCAAAGGCCACCTTGCCTGAGGCGCAAAGCCTGTGCCCTTGAGCTCCTGAGTGCTGCCGCCTTAGTTGGCTCAGAGAACATTTCCTCATTGCAGTCCTGCTAGGATCTGGATTTCTCCAGCTCGTTCCTCTCACACCATGAAGGCCCTACACTCCGACAACACCAGCCTCCCCACATACTTCCTCTGTCTCCAGCGCAGGGTTTTGTCTCACTCATGCCAACTGCCCTCTCCCAGAGCACCCTCTTCCCTGCAGACCCCTGCTCCTTGCCCTGTGGCAGGCAGCGCATAAACAGTTCCACCTTATTTACTTAGCCAGCTAGACAGTGGGCAGCTTCTCCTTGGAAGTCCTTTTGCAAGGTTTCCCACGTACAACGTCCTCTCATTCCATGCCCTCCTGCCCAAACCCTTCAACAGCCTGTGTGTTCCTGGGCACCCTCCCTTCCTCCAGATCATGGGCATCTCTCAGGGCTCAAACTTGTCTTCCTCGGGGATGCCAGCCCACCTTGCAGTCAGGTGTTCTATTGAAGCCCATCTTCCTTCCCATGGGTGCCAGCCCCTGTGTCCCTGATCCTGGAGGAGGCCCGGTGCTTACAAACCAGACTCTTGGCCTCTTGGGTCCCTGGCATGTTCCCACCCTAATATCCCAGAGTGCTCCCCATCCTGTCCATTACTTGCTGGAATGTCTTGATGAGCCACAAATCAGCCATGACTTCATGCCAGACACCACAGGCCCCCCCTCACCTCCACCTGAGTCTGTCTCCCTGGTGTGGTATGCAATGGAGGGGGTGGGGGCCGGCTCATTCATTCACTTGTGAACCCCAAGTAAGTGTGAAGCTCCAGGCCAGGCTGACTCTCCCAGGTTTCTCTCATGACCACTTCATAGTCCCAGGACCCCAAAGTTTCCAGAAAGTCCAACCCTCTGCTCTCGCTCAACTGGTCTTTCGAAACCATCCTGTAATCCATGCCTGGCTCTCCCGCACCCTTGCTCCGCATGGATGGCTGCCTCCACCATCTCTCGGGGACCCCTGTGCCAACCTGGTGCTTGGCTTCCTGATAGACAAGCTGGGGCAAAGTGGACAGATGGCAGGATGAGTTGAGGTCAGCTGTCTGCCCTCGGGAGCGGCCAGTTGGTTGGGGTGAGGCCTCCAGGCTGAGAGGATGGGCCTGGCCTGGTGCTCCCACACAGGGCACAGACGGGAGGATGAGAGGAGGCAGTAGGGCAGCGGGGGAGCCAGTCTGTAGCCAACCTGCACACCCCCTGCCACTCTTGGCCACTTGGGCACAGAGAACCATAAAGAGAAAGTGCCATGCCTGAACCCTGGTTCTCCTTGTCACCTCCAGTTCCTGCCCAGTTCACTCCAGCGAGTTTTTATGACACCCACTTACCAGATGGCCTTTCCCAGCCCCAGGGACTGTGCAGCCTGTGTAGGTGCTGTGTGAGAATGGCTCTGCCTGCCCTAGGCTGAGGTCAGCGTCTGTTTCCAAACGTTTGTGTCCCCACTTCTGACCCTGCTTGGCAATAAGCAGGTGCTGGGGGCTCCATACTAAGGACCAGGGACCAAAATCCTCTCTGTGGCACATCCCCTAGGCCACATGCCCACCACCACTGGGCACTAGCAGGACTGACCTGGAACCACAGCACCAGGGGTGGGGGCAACACCCTCTGTAGTGAGTGAAGAGATGCAGGTGCTGAGGCCCTGGGAACCGTGTAGCTGGCTGATTGTCAGTCAGGAGGCTGGGTGGGAGAGGAACAGCTGAGGCTCAGGCTTCTTCAGCAGCTTCCATGGTGCTTCCCGTCGGGGAGCCACCAGAAGGAAAATTCATGCAGATGTTGACTTGGAGACTCAGACAGAAAGAAAAAAGAACTCCATATCTTTGCCTTTGCCAGTCTCAAGGTGCTGGCCCCCTGCCAGATGTGAGACCAGGATGTATTCTGTGTCGGGGTTACAAGAGGGGCGAGGCACCCACCCCAGAACCCCACAGCTCCTAGTGAGAGCACAGAGCCTGCACCACCTCGGCCCTTCCCATCTATCTCCCTTCCTGCCTGTGAGTCAGGACCAGGGCAGGAAGATTTGGCCTACCCTGCGTCCTTCACACCCGGGGACACTGCTCTAGGGGGAGCAGAGAGGGTCTCTCAAGTTGACAGCCTCTACCCAGCTCATTTCTGGGGGTGCTAAATCAGCTCCCACCTGCCTTCTCCTGGCCCTCCTCTGGGCAGGCCCGGGCTTGTCACCTCCCCGAGTGAGGCCAGGGTGCCAACGGCCGCCAGCCCAGATGCCGTTCCAGCTGCTCCAGCCTCCACCAACCCCAGCAGGATCCCTCTCCCACCCCTTTAGTTCTTGAATTGCTTCCAGAAAGGTTTCTCTGCTCAAAAGTCAGGTGGCCAAGGGGGCCTGGACAATGCAGACCCTGCTGAGGAAGGCTGAGAGCAGGGAGTGAAAGGGGGGTTGGAAGGTACCCCTTTCTACAAGGGCAGGGGCAGTGTTGAGCAGGAGGAAGGGCAGGAAAGGGCCAAGAGGGCTAATTGGGCCACCAAATGTTGGCTAGATCTTTAAGGATAAATTGAGTCATTAAAACAATCATATAAAAAAATCCATCGCCCAGCTGGGCATGGCTCAGCGGTTGAGCGTCAACCTAGGATCCAAGTGATCAGGGTTCGATTCCAGATCAGGGCACATGCCTGGGTTGCGGTCTCAATCCCCAGTCGGGGGCGTGTAGGAGGCAGCCGATCAATGACTCTCTCATCATTGATGTTTCTATCTCTCTTTCCCTCTCCTTTCCTCTCTCTGAAATCAATAAAGATATATTAAAAAAAAAAAATCCAAATATGTTCACTAACCTTATGTGGTGATCATTTCACAACATCTACATGTATCAAATCATTGCACTGTATACCTGAACCTCACACAATGTCATTGTATCACCTGCATCTCAACAAAACTGGGAAAGCATCCACACAACACACACCCAGGACCTAGGTTTCTAACCGATGGGGAAAATTGATGTTCCTAGTCAATACTTGGAAACCAAGGTGTGTAACTCCCTCCTCCCACA